AAAAAAAAAAAAAAAAAAAAAAAAAACCCAAAATGAAACACCAACAAAACAAAACATGCACACCTGGAAAGACTTGAGCTCCTTGTTTTTGGTCCTATATTCTTAATTCCACAGAGCTGAAAAATAGCCCAATTAAAGAACAAATATTTTTCCAATTTAAGTTGTGATTTGCTTGCACAAAACTACAAATGCAGGCTGCAAAATCAATTTTTCCAGTCCAAAGTGTTATTTTTGCTTGATGTGCTTTAACAATGGGATACACTTTGGGACATAAGAAACTTGTTGGGTTTGGGGTTATACCCTCAACCTCCCCCCTGCACAAGGAATCATGTGCTACTTCTGGAGAGAAGCCATGATATTTGAACCCTGCTTGCAGTAAACTAGGCCGTTTCTGTGAAGGATATTCAACCAAAACAAGGATGTTCAGTTCCTGCACAAATCATACAAAAGAGGCAAGCCATGCAGGAATGGACGTCTTAATCCCATTAAGCTTGAAAGTGAAGCTTACCGAATGCTCATCCTCCTCTTTCACTTCTCGTTTGCGCTTTATCCCCACTATGATCGGCTGGTCCTCCTCTTTCAGGCTCACTGAAGGAGATGTAGAATTGCTCTTCAGAGGCAGAGAGAGGAGAAAGAAACACGAGTTAATGCACAGGAAGTCTCGGCAAGAGATGGAAACAGGTCCGGAGAGTCGATCTCCTCCTGAGCAGAGCACAGCTGGACAGAAAAATCCCCCGAGGCAGCATATGATTGTTCTCTGTGCTGACTCCTTGCTTGTCTATGCAAATTCAAGCTGCCAGTTTGAACTGGGAAGGGCCACCCTAGCCTGGGGCCAGGCTACCTGGAGAATCGCCTCCTTCCAGATGTACCTAACCAGACCTCAAGATCTTCTACATCCATCCCCTTGTGGGAGGAGGTACAGCAGAAGGGCCTTTTCGGTGGTGAGTCCCTCGTTGTGAGATGAGGGCCCTCTCAAAGAGCCACCCCCACCCCTCGAAGTGCTAGCCCCACAGTCTGGAGGGCCAAATCTAGATTTCTCAGCCTCTCCCACATCTGGGGGTTGCTTGGGAGATAGAGAGCCTTGGAGAATTTCTGGCTTCTTTTTCTCGGCATCGCCCGGGCCAGAGTGAGAAGCCAGAGAAGGAAGCAGGTGGAGAGGTGGAAAAGTCTCTGGAGTTCTGGCTGATGGGCCCTGCCGGTAAGTAGCTTCCCGGTAAGTGCTCCACCATGCCTTTCCTCGAGGCTGGTCACCTGGTGCTTACCTTGCCATCTTTTTGGCAGCTTCTTTCCACCCCCACCCCCTCCTCGGCCTTTAAAATTACTTAAAGCATTTAGGCACACAAAATTCGGGAATGCCGCTGAACAGACGTGCGCATCCCGGGTTTTGTTTGACTGGATTTCGTTCTTTCATTTTTGTACTTGATCACATACAAAGTTTACTGGAAGCCCCTGCAAGGATATTGGTTGTCCGGCAGTGAATCGATATAGGAAAATAAGCCATGCCCCGATTGGGCGCCCCCTGCATAATTTGGATAGACATGTCTATTTTACAGTCACAACTGGATACAGAACTGGATACGAAACTTCCTTCAACTATCCACTTGCTTTCTTGCCTGCCTTTCTTTCTTTTCTTCCTGCCTGCCTGCCTTCTTTACTTTTAAAAAACAAGTTTCTAGCCCTGATGAATGTGAAGATAAGTGATTCTCAGACCCTTGACTTTGGCAGCCCCAGATATATTTGTTTACGACTCCACATGACTGCAGAGCAGTCAATGATGCGAAAATGGATAACAAAGGGATTAAGATCTTTAGGGTATCCGTTTGGGGAAGGCTGGATTCCGGGAAGAACATGCAGGCATTTCTACTCAGAAGTTGGTCCCACCAAGTTCAGGAAGGCTTACTCAGAAAAGAGCAAGAACATCCAAATCTGGCGACTTTCCAAATCTGGGTGGAAAGTTGTTGGATTTGGAACCTATGTTGCTTCTATCCCTCCTTAGAAAGACAGAGCTGGCACAAACCCTGGGAATGAAGAAAGAGAAAATGTGCAAATGTGTAAAAGCAAGGTTTGGATGGCAGAATCCTGTCGGAGAAAGAGGATGGAGGTGAAAAAGGGGCTACATCCCACTTTGTTGGTAATCTGTTCTTCTAAAATGAAAAGGAGATGGGAAACGCTCCATCACATGGAACTTCTAGGTGGGAATTCAGAATTGATCCATTAAAAATGAGGAGTGCATTTCTAATACTGAGTGAGCCAATTCCTACCCCTTCCATCTGTTGCAAAGAATTAAAATTAGATATGAAAAGCCTCCAGGGCACAGGGAGCAAATGAATTTGAGCAGGCGGGCCCTTTTGGAGCTGGTGCCCGACACACACAGAGTGTTTGTACAGTGGCTGAAATTAAAACAGCACTTGAATAACTGTGGTTCTGCCCTGGAGTTGCAATGAATCTTGGTCCTGCCCCTTTGGGGAGATAATGAGGCGAGACAGGAGTGGAAAATCCCCATCAAAGGCAAGCCCAGCTGTTTACTTCCAAAGCCTTAACTGATGCGCTGCTGGAAAGGGATGCAGCTGGACAAAAACGGGCCTCTTAAAGATGATTAGCAGCCACAGTGTTTCAACACCAGTCGCCACAACCCCTGTGCAGAGCATTCGAACCCTTTCACTGAAGAACCTGGTAGACAGGTGTGCACAAATCAAAGCATGCAGTTGCAAGCCTTTATGACCACAGTCCCTTTATTTACACTCATGAGAACTAGAATCTTACTTCATCTTTCAGGGAAAGGCCATAGATGAGGGGACAAGACTGGCTTTGCTTTCCAGAGGTCCCATCTCAAAGCAGGGTAGGGACAAACTGCCTGAAATTCTGGAGAGCTGTTACCCAGATGCTTCCAGGTAAAATTACAGGTGTGTAATAAAATTACCTGGAAGCCAACCAGAAAATCTCCAAGCAAGGTGGGTGGACGCATTTGTCAGCTAGCACAAATGCAAGGCAAGGGTCCCCCCAGGGCCGTCTTAACAGTATTATGGGCCCCGGGCAAAGCAGTGTACCGGGGCCCCTACGACAACTACAACTACTGTTAATTTTGGAAGGTTTCCCATTTCCCAAGGGTTAACACACACAGATTAGTATGGGGCCCACGGGCATGTGTTATGATGGCCCTGGGTCCCCCACACGGCCCTGACCACTTGAAAAGTACTTTCAGCTGAAAGGAACTGTGTGTGTTGCTTTCTCTTGAAACTGTGTTGATGCAGAGCAACCTGAGGTGCTACACAAGGTCGAAGGCAGAAGCCCTTTGCTACGCACAATGCTTTGCAAGCACACAGGTGAGTCCCTCTTTACCACAACTGATGAATATCGCCACATCTGTCTGGGACATATGGCTAGACCAGAGAAGGTTTTTGTCCAAACAAGGTTGTCCTTCACCCCGATGTTGTTCAGGACATCTTAGTTTTAATTACATAGAGACACAACAAGGTCTATTAATCCCTCGAGTTTTATGTTTCATGTTTTTAAAAACACTGGGATTATCTATGAGGCTGTCTTGAATTCCTAGTTGTTCCTCTCTTGTTGTTCTGCCTGAGAAGAAAGTTGGAGTCCATGAAGTGCATTTTTGGGTCAGATCAAAGATCAGACCGCTCTCCGCACCCTGTTTCACCACAGTGGCCCAAACATTCTTCTGAGAAGCAGAACAAGAAGGAAGCAATCCCCACTCCGCTGTTGATTTCCAGCAACTGATACTCGGAGGTAGACAGCCTCTAATCTTGGAGGCTCCCCAGATCAGAGATCTGCAGCCTGTCTCCCTTGGTGGGCTCATGTCAGCTTTGGAGAGCATGTCCTGGCACCCTCACAAAATGGGGCAGGCTCGCCCATTCCTAAAATGCTTACTCAGTGCCAAGATGCTTCTTCCAAAGGTATTAAACAGAAACCAAAAACAAAAAAAAAAAAAAAAAACTTTTCTGCGAAGCTAAGCATGGAGGGGGGGAGGCGTTCTCCAAAATACAAACCAGACCTTTGAACCCAAATAAGTCAGCACTGGAGGGCAACAGCCCCTTTGCCACATGGTAAAAAATAAAATAGAGACTAGGAAGTGTACAGACCCAGCGGGCATCTGTGGCCGCCCTGGCACTGGCTCATCTAGATGCCATTTTGCACAGTAGTCTCTGACATATTCTCTCACCCCCGCATTTATCTAAGTCCTTTTTTTAAAAAATCAAGCTAAGTTTGCTGTGGCTACACTTTGCAACCGCATGTTGCAGAGCACGGAAAAGTGACGCTATTTTTAATTCTAACCCAGGCTCCAAACACCCCTTTCCAGGCTCTTTGGTGCCCTGGCATTCAGCAGCGGCATAAATTTGTACACAGTTGCCCAATTTTTAGTACATCCAGATCTCTGTTTTCTCGGGCACCCAGATTCCACAAACATTTGCCAGTACAGATGCTGGAAGGGCAGGATGGGAGAAAGCTGGTTGGTCAAAGAAGGACCTTGGAGCCTGAATGGCTCCCATGCAATGTGGCTGCGAAAAGCGTGAAAGCCATCATCAGTGGCATTCAGTAAAAGCATTTGGCAGGTTAAGGCAGGGCCTCTTTGTGAAGGTCTCTAAAGACCCCCTCTGTCATCTAAGTTTATGCACGTGCTTATTTTACTTCTTGGCTGGGCCTTTTTCGTTTCATTGAGTGCATCTGAATGCTATTTTATTTCATTTTAAAAGGTTTTCAGTGCTGTTTTATGTATTGCGTTTTTCTACCCTGTTGTGAACTCCTGAGACAGTTCTGGCAACAAGCGGTACAGAAATGTTGGGTCAAAGGGGGAATGTCAAACCAGGAGGGTATCCAGAGAAGGGCGCTGGTGTGGGAAGGGTTTGGAAGTGAAGCCTTAGGAGGGGTGATGTGAAGAGCTGGTGCATTTAGCTCGGAGAAGGAGATGCAAGAACAGCCATCAAAGATCTGACAGCTGTCTTGCAGATGCGGGAGCAGACTTTCCGTGGCTCCAGAGGACAGGAATACAAAAAGCCACCTGAATGTTGCAACCCAGGTAACTGCATGATTGGCTTCCTATTTTTTTTTAAGAGGCATGGTCTAGATCTTAGGGCTGAGAAGAAACATGCATATTGGCAATTTATCAGTTTATTGCATGCATATCTTATATCATTCCTTCAATGAGTTTTGTTCCTTCCCTGTCCCAGAAACCTTACAACAATCCTGCCAAACACATTAAGGCATGGGGGAATTCGAATCTGGCTCCCTTTCTTTCTACTCCAGCATGTCCAACAACTCTGCTGCTTGCCCTCAAAGGAAGCCAGGAGGATTCTTTGTAGGTCTTTGTAGATTTGTAGGTCTTTGGGTGTTTGTTGCAGATTATGATTTTTCCACATGATGAATGGCAGTGTATGAAAATTATGCAAACATGTCTAAGAAGTACATTGCATGTCACCCAAAGTTACAAAACCAAGGGGAGTTGTGCAAGATGATGCTTGTGAATTGTACAGTTGCAGAATTCAGTAGGGCTGCAGGTTGGGGGCGCAGACCCCAGGCTCAACCTGCAACAACCTGTAGGGTGGGAAAGGACCCTGGCAAGCTGCTTCCAGGATTCTCCTAGTCCTGACTCAGCAA